TAGTGTCCAGAATTAACACTCAAGCTGAAAGAAGCTTGCACTGAAGAAACCTGTCTACATCATTTATACAGAATGAATTGCAATGTAAATGAAGTGGCGACATCCGTGTGCCTATATATATATATATATATATTTTTTTTTTTTTTTTTAAATTTATTTAATTTTTTTAATTTTATTTATTAAAAAAACTAAAGTCAGAGATCCCTTTAAAGCTTGATTTTTATCTCAGCAGAGGAACACAAACGCTTGAACCCGTCTTAAACAGCACACACACCTACAGCATGATTAGAATGTATATTTCTGAAAGAAGTTGTGATCAGAGCAGCTTAACAACACGTGTTCAGTCAGTCTGTGGTTATAAACATGCTAAGGGAAGGCGTGCGGTGCTCACGTCAGAGGAGGTGAGGAGTCACAGATTTCTGGTTAGAGCTTTTATTAGCGAGTGTTTGTGAGTCGTGATCACGTTTAATGTTTGGATCCTGAATCAAAGAGAAAACACGGGAGTTCTCGGATCATTCGGCGATTCTTAGATGACGGTGTGTGCAGAGGAGGTCTGCAGGTTCTTGAGTCTTACCGTTGGAGAAGGAGAGGCTGAGCTGGAGCCTGTTGGCTGGAGGTGACGAGAACAAAAAAAGCTTGTTTCAGAAGATCCATTTAAAGAAATAACCTCTGCTCATTTAGAAGGAGGTTCTTCAGAAGAACAAAGAGCTCTTGTTGGTTTGTTCACTGAATTGTAAAGTTATTAGTATTTTCTTAGAGTGGGTAGATGTTGAGCCTCAGTTTTGATTCAAAGCTGGAATAAAAGTGCTCACATGCAAACAAAGTGTTCAGCTCTGAGGACGCATGAAGCTGCTTCACTAAAACTAGAAACGTCCCAAAATGATGAAGAAACCAATCAGCGTATTTATCACTTCTAGGCTGGACTACTATAACAATTTATTATCTGGGTGTTCAAAAACCTTTACCGGTAATTCTCTCCATTGGCTCTCTGTCAAATTCAGAATTCAAAATCTTACTTCGAAACTACAAAGCCCTCAACAACCTAGCTCCATCTTATATTACAGATCTTATTGTTCCATATTTTCCTAACAGAGCACTTTGTTCTCAGACTGCAGGTTTACATGTGGTTCCTAGAGTTTCCAAAAGCAGAGGGAGGAAGATCTTTCAGTTATCAGGCTCCTCTCTTGTGGAACCAACTTCCAGTTTCTGTCCATGAGGCTGAGACGTTGTCCAGTTTAAAGACTGGGCTTAAAACTTTGCTTTTTGATAAATCCTACAGTTAGGGCTGGACTGAGTTTCATGAGCTATCCTTTAGGCTTCGACTACAGAACAAACTGATCATATCTCCTCACTCTGCTGCTGTCTTTACTCACTACTCTCCATGTTTTATGTATTAAATAAATTATGTCATTAATCTGTTTTTTATTTCCATAGAAACCACACCTGGACCAATCCTTGAGTTTCTCTGTGTCTCTTTCCTGTGTCAACCCTCAGCTGGTTGACGCAGACGGCTGGAGGTTGCTTCCTGTTTAAAAGGAGTCATTTTTCCCCCACTGTTGCCTCCATGCTGCTCAGGGTGGGAGATTATGATGAAGAGTCAACACAGTCTGCTGGTGTCACCATCAGTGATAGACTTGTATGAACTGGCATCTCCTAACGTACTACCAGTATCAGTGAACGCATCGTGTTATATGAAGAATTCAATTGACTGTGATGACTTTTGTTGTAAACTGATGAATAAACTGGCTTGAACTGAATTACCAGTGTCCACTGCAGTGTTGATGCTGGAAACAGAGTGGTAGGCGAGCAGCCAGTGACGCAGCATGGAGAAAGAATAAACGTTCATCCACTGGTCCTCGGTGAAGCCTTGCCCCACACAGAGCACCGTGAAGAAATCCCCCGACACCGACCCATCCAGCTCTGCTATCGGCAAAGGCTGAAAGAATAAAATTAAATTAAAAAAAACAAATAAAAGACCCAGCTTTAGCCTTTCGTGACAATTTTAAAGTGAATTTTTAATTTGTTGAGAAATAACAAAGTTGCTTCAGTTTTCGTCAAAACTTTTAAAAAATAAATAAATAATCACATTATGCTCAGTATCATGCAATATTGTGACGTCTGCTCAGAGAACATGTTATGAACGACTCTCAGCTACTACCACAGAAAACTTTAGTTCAGAATTTTTTAAATAGACTGAATTTTAACTTTGTTTTTGCTCATCTATTGGCCGTGGTAGCCATCTTGAATTGGCTTCTCTCCAAATGATAATCAGTTGCAGATGTACACCCAGTGGTTATTTTCTTCAAGTCTCATTCAAAATTGTCCAGAGGCTCATGAGATATATTTGGTAATGAACAAACGCACAAACAAACAAAGTCGTTATTGTCTGCCTTCACTTTTTGGTGCTGGACAGTAATAACGCTGTGAGGAAGTCAAATCTGAGATAAAACAAAGCTCAGAGGAACAGAAAATAATATCTGTATCTCTCTGTGATGTTGCTTACAGTTATTTTTACAGATGAATGTAAACGCAGAAGACTCACCTGACGGGATCTGGACCCCTTGAAGAATCCTCCTGAGGAGGCGCCGCTTCCCTGCACGATGCTCGCATAGCGCAGCCAGTCAACAAGCTTTTTACTCAGGAGGGTCACATGTTCTACAGAAACAGACAAAAGACGGGGTGCAAAGCTTCAAACCTATGATATTAAAGGAGAAGAATGGAGAGAGAGTCACGTTTGTTTTGAGCTGCTGTTACTTCCTGTCAGTTACCGTTGGTGAGACACTCCGGGCTGAGAGTGAACAGGCTGTTGAGGACCGGCAGGATGAACATGAGCGACTGAGGTGACCCTTCAGACGGCCGGCTCTCTAACGTGCACATAAGGTGTGCGCAGAACCTCGACAGATCTGACCTGGACCTAGCCTTTTAGGAGAAAATCATATAAGAGACATAGATTATAAGATGCCTTTGCACACACACACACAAAAAGTTAGTAAAATATTACCAACATGTGTATTGTTTATTTATAATAGTCCTGCATACCTGAGAAAGCAGCAGAGCAGCAGTATGAGTGTTCAGCTGACCAACGTTCTCCTGGATGGAGTTCAGCTCTTGACCAGAGAGAGGCAGCGTCTCTCTGAGCACAGCAGAGCTCAGCACCTGAAGCTGCTCTGAGGGGGACGAGAGGAGCGACACGAGCCTCTGCTGGAGCTCCGCAGGCAGACTTTGGTGGGTAACAACACACACAAGAACAAAGTAAGAACATGGACGAAAACAACTCATGAGAAGCAAGCTGGTCGAAAACATAATGTAGGAAAAATACTCATTAAACTAGACGTTTCACTGATTTTGTTATTGTATTTGTTGAAAGTACTAAAATACTTTTTGTGCATCACAATATTGTTTGAAAAATACTAAGAGAAATATTCACTAGAGACAGGATTTTTATTGCCATCTACAGTTGAGATATTTTGTTAGTGCCAAGATAAAATGTGTATCAGAAAACAGCTGTTGGACCTGTTTAAAATACAGTATGGCTTAAACCAGGGGTGCCCACACTGTTTCAGCATGCGAGCTACTTTTAAGGTGATCAAGTCAAAGTGATCTACCTACAATAAGGCCCCGTTTACACGAGAACCTCTGGAAACGTTAGTGTTTTTCAATGTTTATTGGGGTAATAAACAAAACATGAGTGGGTTTACACGAAAAAGCTGTAGTTTCCATGTCAGTCGGGTTGCCAGATAAGAATTTATGAACTATAGTACAGTGGCTTTAAAATGATCGTATTTTGACCTAAACTGCCATACGTGCTGAGTAAAATATTCTAAGATGAGGTGTGTGTTGTGTTTGTTGAACATGTGCACAGAAAAAGAGGTAAATAACACATTTTTGAATTTATCTGGCAACCCTGAGCTGGCTCAGCTATCGCTTTGGATCCTGGATTTAATTAGTTTATTTCTCCTACATGCTGAAAAATGATGCGTAGCACAAAAAACATTTTGCTGTGCAGAAAAACTTTTGACTGCAGTCGCCTGTAGTGTGCATGTGTGACTTCACACACAGATAATTTGTGTGTGTGTGTGTGTGTGTGTGTGTGTGTGTGTGTGTGTGGGGGGGGGTAAATGTGGATAAATATAAATCACGAAATTCTCCACTCTGAGACCTGGTTTGAGAGAATGAGGGCTGTGACTGGCTGCCCTGTATGTCAATCAAGTAACAAACTTCATTCATTCAACCTTTATTTATACAGATAAATCACACTGAGCCTCGAGGACTCATTTACAAGTGAGACCTGTTTCAGTTTCATAGTGAGGATGGATGCAGGGCTTAAAGTGAAAAAAAAAATCCTGAGCTTGAAACTTTTTTTGTGGTGGTGATAGAATAAAATCGTGACATATTGCCAACGTTTATTAATTATGCTCTCTGAAAAGTGCAAACAACTGCTTTTAACAACAAACAATTCAGCTTCAAGTAACAATGACTCAAATGAGTTTCAATGTATTTGAACTTAAACAATGTAAACTATGTACCCCAGAGTACTGCTCCGCAGCAACAAAACTCAAAAAGACTCAACACCACATTTCAGTCAATTAATTGTCAAAAATGTTTGTTTCAACACAGACTGTTTAAACACTGATGAAAATGTCTTACCAGCATTGACGTCAAAAGCATTTGTAAGGGGGGGGGGGCACACTGGTGCGGGGGTCTGGGGGTCCTCCCCCAGAAGATTTTGAGTAGATTCCATTTCCTACATTCTGGTGTATTCTAATGGGTTAAATATCTATGTTTACCTACATAAGTAACTTGATTCAATAGCTATTTTCGAGAGCAACAAGAAGTAGCCTGACCAACAGCTCTCCTTGTGTGAATAAAGAATGCTCTGCTCACCTCAAGCATCCTATCACCCCCCACCCTGGGGCAACAACTGTCGGCACGAACGTAACACTAAGATAGCGTGCCGCTGTGCAGAACATAATGGGAAGTGGAGATAAATAGACATAACAGAGGAAGAGTGGAAAACAATCTGGGAGTATGAGTGGAAATGTAGCAGCTCATTGAGGTGGAGGGAGTTTGGCTGGAAAAGTCTGATAAAATATTTTATTACACCTTGTCAAAAACCCCACTATAAAAGGTAACTCTGTGGAAATATGAATGCAAATCTTTATAACGTTTTTGGAGACTGTCGCGTAATCAAAACTGACTGGCCGGAAATATCTGTTAGTCAACTGTCCCTGGAAAGTAAAGTTTAGTTTTTTGGACTCATGTCTGAAGGATGGCCAAAGAGAGACAAATGTTTTAGTATTTTGGTAGTAGTAGACAACAAGGCTCTCACAAAAACATGGCTTTCACTGGAGAGCCCAAAGCTGAACATCTGGATGGACATAAATAGGATGAAGAGAATAACCACAGACATGAATTGCAAGAAGGACATGTTTACTTTAAGTTGGAAGAAATGGATGGTAAAACTGTGCAGACCAGATTTGGACTTTGCTACCTTTAGGTACTCTGTGTATCAATAACCGCTCTTCACTCCCTTTCTGTGAATGTTCATGTTGTTGTTTTTTTTTCTTTGTTTGTTTGTGTTCTTAAAAAGCTGCATTCATACAGATGCTATGGTACTAATAACTGATGTACACTACATTTGTTGCTACCAGTAAATGTTAATAAGAAAGTATATTAAAACAGAAATCATCAATATATTGAGTTTGTTGACAATGGTGTGAGTGTGGCCTCTTACGTTCTGGTGTATTTGTTGGCGGACAGGATGAGGTGCAGCCTCTGCAGCGAGTCCAGGGTCTCATGGTTGAGCTCCTTCACCTGAAGCAGCTTCACGAGTCTGCTGCAAAACTTCTGCAGCTCAGGCTCCTGAATCTCTCTGGAAATCACACAGACAGAGCAGAAGATTTCCGTCCTGTGTAAACGCCTTCAACTAATGAGCCCAGTTTTTAATAAACTTATATTAGGCCCGATTTTTAATGTTTTGTCAATTATTACTTAGCAAAATTATTTTGGTTACATGTCACAAAGTTATTCAACTAATAAAGTTAACAAGGCTTAGTTTTTCAGAGCTAACATCGGATGTTAAGGCAGGAAAGGAAAAGGTGAAGCAATATTGGTAAATAAGCATATTTAATTCAACACACCTGAATGTATATTTTATTATTATTAGCGTGTCGTTAAATAACACCTTAACTGATTTCACACTATTAATTAATACATATAAAAAATGGGACCGTGTGTATATAACTCTGGCTCAAATAATAAGAGACATGAAAGGAATTTCACTGAAAAACAAGTTGTAACGAAGCAAGTACTTCCTTCGTTACTTGTTTTTCATATCAATTTGATATGCAGCTAGGTGATTTCTCTGCGTTATTAACGCAGGAGAAACGTTTAATATATTAAAAAAACAAGTATTACCTTTATAAGTTCTTACCTCGCTTGTTTAATAAGACTTTCTGAACCGTGAGAGTACATCTTTGGCCGAAAACCAGACAGTTCTCTGCCGCATCCGTGCGCAACAGAATGTAAACAGTGCGCGGGCTAATCGAGTCCTGACTGAAATCACATGACGAGACTTCAGTTCCGCTTTCGATTAAAGGAAACACAGGACTCCGGGGCGGTGTTACTGATTTCCTTAAATAAAGAAAAGAAAATATTATGGTGTTACCAATAGACATCATATATACATTATATATGTATATATGATGTCTATGGGTGTTACCAGCGCCATAGATATAGAGATCTCTTTATACGTCTCTGGTTCCTACGGTTCCAAGCAGCGAGGTGATGGCAGGCCGATTGTGTCATTAATAGCTGTTAAAGATTCTCAGTCATCCAGGACATGGTAAATTCAAAAAAGTTCAAGACAAAAACAATAAAATATAAAATAAAGTCCCGTTGTTTTTGTATTGAACTTTTTTGAATTTGTCATTATTGCCACGTTTACCCATTACATGACTAGGCAAAAGGGCCTTCTCCTACTCCGCTCCTGTTTCCTGGAATATCTTACAAAAAGATTTGAAGCTCTCGACCTTGACCTCTCTAAGTGGCTTTAAGAATTTGTTGGACTCCTGGCAGGGACCAATGCAGACATGTTCCTGTTTTTAGTTTTATACATTTGTCTCGGAATCTAGCAGTTTTTTTGGTTTTGTTACCTTTTTCCTTTTAGCCATCCTATTTGTTAAAAAAAAAAAAAAAAAAAAACTGTAGTATGAGTTTTTATAACTGCTTATTGTTGTTGCTGTTGTCCATTGTTGTCATCTTTCTTTGTTGAAATCAGGTCTCTCTTGTAAATGAGTCCTCGAGGCTCAATGGGATTTACCTGTATAAATAAAGGTTGATTGATTGATGATAGGCATGCCCAAAAGCTACTACTACTCTGCTGCCATCTAGTGGCAAAATGAAGTACTGCTTAAAAAAATTCAGTCAAAAAGAAGTACTGCTTAAAAAAATTCAGTCAAAATTAAAGAAAATGGTCATCTCTTAGCCAAAAATTGGAATCAGAATCAGAATAACCTTTATTGGCATTGCACCGAGATACAACGCGAACATGTACGTACAGTCGTCCGAAAGATGGGCAGAGTGCACGAAGCTGCAACTAAAGAAAGTGAGGCCTTTTCTTCAGAACAGAATCAGTTTATTATTGCCATGTCAATGAACGAGGTTCACAAACTAGGAATTTGCTTCGACATAAGGTGCGAATAGCAATAAAGTAAAATAAAGTAAAAATTAAGTAAAAATTAAGTAAAAATGAGAACATTACATAAGACATAAGACCTGTGTACACCCACAAATAAAGTAAAATTAAAAACACAACATAACCATATGTACACCCATACAATAGAAAACAATAAAAAAGCTTAGAGAACAGTACAGATGGAGTATTCTCTTCTTATTCAGAATAATATATTTGAGATAGGAAAAGGGGGAGAAACATGAGGTAGATAGTGGTATTACAAAAAAAAAAAGAAGAAAGATCTTTCACATCTTGTCTATCAGGACACGATTTGAGACATCAAAAAAACTCTACCAGCAGCACAATTAAAACATGATTACATTTGCATTTGACATCAAGGTGTTGAGATTTGTCCATGAGCGTTTTTCATCAGCCAGATGGTCAGCCAGATCAGATGGTTTATAAATATGGGGGGAAAAAATCCATAAATATGTTGCTTTTGCTTATAAGTCGCAGGGCATGTAAATATGCAAAAAACTGTGACTTTTATGGTTAAAAATACGGTAAGCAAACAAAACCATTTCATGTAAAACAATTCATTAAAGATGTTTTAAAGCGGTTGCTATATTCAAATTTTGATCTCTTCTTAAAACATTTGATCTTTTGATCTCAAAACATGTTCATCAGTAAAATACTCAGTTATGGCATGACTATGATGACTGACCGCATGAATCAGTAATGACTTCCTGTTGCTCACCATATATTCATATATTTATGCTATTACCTCATATTTTACTGGATGAATATTGTGGGTAATCAGAAGTGGTGCTCAAGCACCCCTAAAAAATAAAGTAAAAAAAGATTATTATTACTGGTGGTTCTGTTTATTGCATTTATGATTCAATGCAACAAAATAAACACATTTAAAAGGTAACATATCATTGTAATACTTGGTTTATTTACATAATGACTATAACTTCTGGATGTCCGGCCCCTGAGCTGCTGGCTTTCAGTAACTGTGCCCCTCCTGCACAGTTTAGTTGAATAGTCCTGCTTTAGAGGGTGGAATACAGTTTATTCCATTTCCAAAACCTAAACTGAGTCTGGAAAAATGTAAAAGATGATAAAGCCCTATGGATGACCTCATGATCAGCTGAACACAACAGTGATAAACAGGAAGTACCACATGTTCATCTGTACGAAGGTAACTGCAGGTACACTTAATGGTTAAATTAAAGGTCAATGCTTAAAGCTATATATGTGTTTTGTTTTGTGTGCTTTATATGTAGATATATGTTGTAATTTCTGCTTGCATAAATTTAGTCTTTATTATTATCAGTTAACACTAAACTGATTTTGTACAAAGTGTTTATTAGGTTGTGTAATGTAAAGCAGAGCGCTACATCTGTAGCGGTGGTGTAGTCCACATTTTTGCAGTGGGTGCACTGTGCTTCGAAACTAAAATACACTGGTTAGTACAATGTAATCATCAATTTATTTTGATTTTTAAGCATATTGAACATTTCCAAATTTCTCTAATGCTTATGAACAACAAACTTTGTAGAACAACTTTGTATTAAAATCATGTTATAGAATTTATGAAACCGTATCAAAGCAAAGCGCTGCATACCAATAGATTGTTACAGAAGTGTTTAACTTCCGTTTAACATATCAATGACACGTGCCTAATGATATGCCATGTATCATTGGGCACTTTTAAGTGGTTATACTGAAAATCTTTAGCTTTTCTAGTGGGTATACTCCGTATACCCGAGTATCACATACTTTGTAGACTACACCCCTGATCTGTAGCATCTTAGTTAACGTGTCTGTATTGCACGCCGGTAGCTTAGTGCTATTTCATGTTGTGCCGTGCTCTCTAAAATAATTATTGAATCAAGTGTTTACTTATGGAGGTAAACTTCGATGTTTAACAACCCCATTAAAATACACCAGAATCGTCCCTGGTAATCAGCATGTTGCAAAATTAGCTAAAATAGTTTAACGTACTCCAAACTGGACATCTATATATAAAAAAAGTTTCATTCAGTATCGTAAACATGCAGTACGTTTTACTGTTTGTCATATTAATGGATCATTTTGAAAGTTGTCGTGATGTATTTTGAGAAAAACGTACATCATTTACCGTAATTAAATTTGCAATTATAGTTCTGTAGTGATCTGAAGTTTATCGCTCTCTCTCTCTCATATACATATACATACATACACATATACATGTATATGTATACATTATATATATATATATATATATATAGTTTTTCAGAAATGCACAGGTATAAATTTGCTTGTATTTACCAGTTAAATTTTTCACGTCTTTTTAATTTAAAATATAACAAAAACAGTCCAAATTTTCTTATTGAGATGGTCATGAACACCATTCACCTAAACAGAGTACCGTATTTTCTGCCGTACACGTCGCACCATCCCATAAGTCGCATCAGTCCAAATATGTCTAATAAAGTAGAAAAATCCATAAATATGTCGCTTCGCCATATAAGTTGAATATATTATGCGTCACCACTGACAACCCGGAAATGTGGGCCGGTGTTGTGCCAAAAAGTCGATTGGCTGCCAAATGGTAGCCGCTGGGGCGTGCACAGGAGGTCTTTAACAAGGAGTTAACTAGACTAACACTTAAAAACAATTATTTGGTTGCTCGAAATTATAGTAAAGGTGTGCCTCAGTCTACCTTTTGCTTAATAAATGCACTTTGACTGTCAAATCACCTGCATTCCAAAGCCGATATGCGGAAGTAAGCGTGTGCACGGGACAGTCGCTGTGCAAATTTAACAAGATAACTGCCTAAAAACAATTATTTGTTTGCTCTACGTAGCAAAAGTGTGTCTCATTTGAACTATTCAATAAAAAATGCACTTTATTGGTCAAATCAGCTGAATTCTAAAAAAAAGTTTTGCTTCTGAGGTTCTGCTAATGAGGATGCGTAGCGTGACGAGCCACTGCATTTCTTTAAAATTAACAAGATAGCCACCTGAAAACAATTATTTGCTTGCCTTTATAGTAAAGGTGTGTCTCAGTTGAACTTTTACTTCAAAAATGCACTTCAATGGTCAAATCAGCTTCATTTTGCTGGGACGGTGCAGCAAGGTTGCTCCAAGCGAGCTGGACGAAGGTGATTCTGTGGTAAGCCAGTTGTGTAATTAATAGCCTCGTTTACCTATTACATGACACAACGGCATGCCATTGCACTCTGGCGCCATCTAGTGGCTGAAAAATCGTATTGTTCAATATTTAAGTAAGAATGAATTTAAACTGTTAATTGGTTTATTAATATGGGAAAACTTCCATAAATATGTCGTTTTGGTGTATATGTCGCAGGGCATGTAAATTATGCAAAAACAACGTGACTTATAGGGTGAAAAATACAGTACTTTTGAAAACTGTTTTAACATGATACTTTATAAAATATTGTTAACCATTGACGAAACAACATTACCAGTAATAATTACATAAAGTAAATGTGCACAACAATAAATGTATGTTTAAATAATAAATGTAAATTACTTATTGCTTCATTTTGACCATGCTGATATGATAATGGATCGTTTTTGCGGGGACCAAAACCAAAGCGGATTCTGCCATTTTAAAACAACTCCAGTCTCGAATAAATAAAACTTTACATTCCCATCAGTTTTATGTTATGGTGAAATTAGCATAAACGATATAATAATCCCACTGGAAGTGATATAGTGCTGTGCTAGCCACTTTGAAAACACCTAGCCTGAAACCGATAGCATTTGGTTTCTGAAAACTCTAAAAAAAACTTATCTCAAATAATTAATCTTGGTTTATGTAAACTCTATTCTATAAAAATTTACGCTTCCATCAGTGTCGCAGGATGAAGTTATTTCCTTTTGAATTAGCAGAGGTAACCACAGTACAAGCAGCAGCAGCATCTAGCTAGCTGAAGCATCACTTTGAGCTGGAATATAATAATGTTTCTGCCAGAATACCAGTGTAATGTGACTCTAACAGTGTCATGAACAGCTATGATTTTATATTCTTTAGAATGGAGTTGTTTAAAGACAACATAGGCTAATCTGTTTTGGGTTTGGACCTGGTAGCCCTTGGCTCCTCAGTATGATCAAAATTAAATTCTGTTCCGAGAACTGACAACCCAGAGTGAAAGGACTGAATGTGAACAACTCTAAGACGGGAAGGCAAGTTTAGTGAGTTTATTTACAGTGGATAATGGCACAGGTAATGTCAGGAACACTGAGGAGCAAGGAGATGGGTCAGTATGAAGTACGGCAGAATTCGGTATTGTCTTGTTCTTACTGGTCGGAGTATGGTTGCTTGAGGAGGATTGGTTCCATTAAGCTTGTGCAAACAAGAAATCATCCAGAGTGGATTGCACTCTCTGGTGGGCGTGTGGTTGGAAGGTGAAGAAGATGGCTAAGGAGAACACAAGGAGATTTCCAGAGTTCCACAGAGGAGCCAGGAACAGGTATGTCTCAGGAGGTACACTGGAAATATCAAAAGGCAAGGGAAAGTAATCTCAGGTCAGCAGGATACTAAATGGCTAGAAGCACGAACCATTGGCAGGTAATGCTCCAGCGTGGAGAAGTCGTCAGTAGCCTTTTATCCCATAGATATCATATAATCAGTAGATACAACATTGACCGCTATCGCCTATTGGCGCTGACGAGCTGTAGCGCCGCCATCTTGGAACGGTCGACCGCTCCACTCAGTGTAGCCTGTTTGATGGGAGCAATGAAATATCTGTGCGTTTAATCAGTCAGAGCTGAATACTAAACTCATTCTCATGATTTTTTCCTCTGTAAATCTCAGGAGTACAGCCATTAAAGCTGAACACATGGTTCAGTGTATTTAAATATTCTTGGTGGGGTTAACATTAACACTAATAAAATATTCTTATGACAAGTTTTGCAAAACTCATAGTCACTGATACATTTTTATTAATATCTATACATGCATGTTTTGGTCTGTGGGAGGAAACCGGAGTACCCGGAGAAAACCCACGCATGCACGGAGAGAACATGCAAACTCCACCCAGAAAGGCCCCTGGACGGGGTTTGAACCAAGGACCTGCTCACTGAGAGGCAGCAGCTCTACCAGTTGCACCACCGTGCTGCTGTACAGTAATATTGTATTCACAAAATACTTACAATAATATGTTCATCTTACTTGTGAAAAGTTATCCCCCGAGACCTGACGTCAACAGTCCGTCGGTTAGAAAAGAAATAAGCTGCAAAGCTGCAAAGTGCTGAAACATCTTCTGCTTTAACCAAATAAGGACGACCGCTCCAAGATGGCGGCCGAAATTCCTGCGCCGCAGCAGCCAATGAGGGATCTAGTGATTATATGATATCTATGTTTTATACGCTTGGCACCTCATCAAGGAGATTGTTCGCAGGTGCGGTAGTTTGGCGCCACCTAGTGACCTCAGGCCAGAAGTGAAACAGGAACTCCCACAAATGCTTTAGGACTGATACCCATCCAGTTTCACACCTATCAGGAATGTTAACCATGTGACCAGAGTGGCCCTTCTGTGGGTGGCACTAACAAAGACTAACGATCCTCTATTGTGAAGAGTGAGAGGTCAATCTGCATGTGTCAATCTGCATTATGCAAGCTTACAGAACACCTCTGCTTTATAACTTGAATCCCACACTCCTTGTTTCTTTGAATTGAGAAAGCTCCTCGGATGAGAAGCGAAACGTCTTCAGTTACAAATAAAGTCCAGTTGTTTTTAACCTTTTTTTGGGTTCACAAATTCGAAGTAATGTAAACTTATTGTTAAACCATGCATTTTGTAATACCCGAACTCAGTCACTTGTTTTAAAGTATTTAACCTTTACTAAACAATATTTGGTAAGAGTTTGTTTTGGCCTGGCTCAAACAAGCCATTAGCTCACCAATTTCACCAAAATGAAACTCAAAGTAATGAAAAATTAATTGTTAAATCTTACATTCAATGATATGTGTGTGTATATAATTACTGAGTTAAATGATAAACTTGATCTTATTTGGAGAAATTACTTGTCCCCACTCGGACTAGCCGTTAGTTCATCAACTCACTCAGAATTACACTCAAAATAAACCACACATCTATTGATATGCTTATTAACATTATTACTGAACTCAGTCATTACTTTAAATGTATTTGACCATTTTGAAACATTATTTGGTTAAAAAAACAAAAGTTTTTGGCCTCGCCTTCGACTAGCCGTTAGCTCATCATGCAGGTTAATGGCAAATGGACTGTACTTATATAGCACCTTTCTATCTTATTTCAAGATACTCAAAGCACGTTACACAACAATCTGTGCCTCATTTACCCATTCTTAAAGCACTCTACTAGATCTCTACAAAGCTAATTGAACAAATCATTCTAATGAGACAAATCAGAGCTTTATCACATTCATACATCGATGGGACACACATCAGAGGCTATGAGGGGTTCAGTGTCTTGCCCAGGGACACTTCAGCATGTGACTGCTGGTGGATTCAAACCCCCAACTCTTGCACTGGAGGAAGACTGATCTAACCTCTCAGCCACAGCCGCCCCCTGTAAAAATAAACTATTTTCCAAAACTTTCCAAGCTTTTCATGCTATCTGAACCAGGTTAGATATTAACGTTTAACCTTTACTCAGAACACCCCCTAAGCTTTTTTTTTTTTTTTTTTTTGCTTAATAAGTAAATAGAAGAAGAAACTGAAGTTTTCATCTAAATATGTCCTAAAATGGTAATGAAAAGCAAACGTCACAACAATGAAATGATTCAGTTTAACCATGTTCTATGATTGTTTTGCTCTTGTCTTACAGGCTTTAAATGGATTATTGTTCATGTTGTGGTTGACTGTAGCTACTGATGGAAACAATGAAGCAGCTTTAAGCTAAAACACCCAACACGATAGGATTTTTTTGTTGCTGTCACAGCTGAAGGAGTAAGTAAAATAAACAGAAGTGTGGTAGAGGTGTCTGTGAGCTTTGATTGGTCAGTTTCAGATCAGAGAAGCTGAAGATGTCAGATGAAGGAGCTCTCTTCCTTTCACAGCTTATTTCCATCTGAGCTCTAACACTCCGCCTCCGCTCTCTGTCGGCCTTTCTCTCTCTCTTTCTCTCTCTCTGTGCAAACCTGTCTCACTTTTCTGTCTGCCAGGCTGCGAGTCGGGGCCACAGCCACCATGCGTTGTCACCTAACTTTCTTTTAAAATGTCTCCTTTTTCTAAAAAAAAAAAAAAAAGGATTGGATAGATGGACACAACCTGAGCTGCTGTCCAGGTGGAGCGAGCTTTTGAAGCTTTCGAACTTCCTAAAGAGACAACAGTAACTAAAAGAATCACTCGAGCGCCAACATTTTTTTATTTCTTTCTACACGGATATTTCCTTCATCTCAGGTAGGACACCTCGTGCGTTTTCATGTGTTTAGTCACTTCAGAGACGAGCATGAACAAGGCTGATGAAAGTGCAACAAGTCGAGTGGAAAAACAGGCTGTCACACCTCGTTTATCACCACACAGGCAAAACTTGTAGTGTGACACCAAAAGTTGGAGCTTTAGAAAAGTTTTACTCCGTTTTGTTGTGACCTTGTCCTCCTAACGACTCATGAACTGGTAACTGGTATTAGCTCGGCTCCACAGAGAATATTTGTCATCACCAAGGTTTAATCTGGTGCAATCAACATGTTTGGGATTCCAGCAGCAGGTGCAGAGGACAAGGTGGTCCAGTTAGTGGGAACCTCACAGAGATGCGCTCCTTCAATAAAACCCTTTTCTCAAACTGCTCTTTATGACGTATAAACAAGCCGACTAACTTTTAACTGTGTAATCATTAAAAAGTTAATAGTTTTGGTCAATTTTTTTGGGTCAAATCTTCATTTTGTGTAAAAACATCTGTTTCCCTTAAACAGAACCAAGATATCAAATTCCTTCAGGTCCTTAGCTTAACAATGAAGCCTTTATGACGGGTCATATCTTCACATCAGAGACCAGTGAGCTCTCCCTGCAGAACTGGATCTGGTCCTGTGCTCTGGGCTTTGAACTAGATTGGTTTTATCCTAACCCCGTCACACTTTGGACATGTCCGCCTTGAGTTCCCACAGCACTTCACATATGTGAGGCTCCGGCACTCGTAGCATCACCTCCTGCAGCCCAGGTTGGCACCAGGCAGGGTCGTGTCCCTACAGTTTGTGGTACGAACGCAGCAGTTTGGAAACGTCACTTATACGTCTTAAAAACAAAATCTTACATAGCAGTGACCAGACACGTTCCACTGTCTCACGTTATGCTGTGAAAACAGACAGAGCGCAAGCAAAGACAGAAAACTGCACTTCATTACAGATACACATGTAAGACCCCAGGTATAAACAAACCAACGAGACGATGATGCCACAGAAACTTCCATTTGTCTTTCCTCACTTGCTCTCAGCTTTAAAGTTTCAATTTAAAACAACGCACTTAACAAAAAAACCCTTTAACAGTTCGTTACTTTTACGGTTTCACTTGGATTTATAGTTGTTTTATGGTTGTATGTGTTACAGCACTTTGACCAACGGCGTTGTTTTTAAAGTGCATTATAAATAAAGTTGTATCGTGTTGTATTGTAAAAACCCATCATGATTGCTGAGTGTACATCATGCATGCCACAAGACATCACAACAGGCGTTTCATTTCTTGATGTATGGGCCCACGTGAAAGGCATTTCTGGATTCACCAACATACCGTGTTTTTCGGACTATAAGGTGCATTAAGCAAAATAAGTTCATTTTGACAGATTTTTGAGCGGCGTGCACCACATAAAATCAGTTTGAGGTCAGTAAGCACAACCAGAATTAATACATAATTATGATTATAAGGCTCACTGTTGGTTTTTGAGAAAATTCAAAGCTTTTAAGTGTCTGAAACATACGGTACAAGGCAAAATAATGTGACAGCAGATTTTTAAAAAATCATGCAGCTGCAATATTATTGTTGAATATCTCAGTGATGATGATAAACCCACTTGCTCTGTCATTGTGGTGCCCAAAACACTGAATGTTAGGGGTGTCCAATCCTGGTCCTCGAAGGCCACCATCCAAAATGGGATGGATGGATCTGGGGACTGAGATGGTGTAAAGGTAGGTCAGCCGACTTGGGACCAGAAAGTTGCGCTTCGACTCCCAGCCATTCCCACATGTGGTGGTGTCTCTGATCAAGATCCCCAATTGTTCTCCAGGCACCCAATTGCCGCCCACTGCTCCACCTGGGTGTATCCCAGGTGCGATGGGTTAAATGCTGAGAACTAATTTTGTCCAATTTTGATGACAACACATACTTACTTATTTCTCCATGTTTTACTTGTTTTCCTGCTCCAGCACAACTGATCCAGTGGTTGACTTTAATGCTTCATGTTCTGCAGAAAGCTGTTAGTCAGCCATTGATACAAACCAGGTGTGTTGGAGCAGAGAAACATCTAAAACATGCAGGATAGTGGCCCTCCAGGACCAGGACTGGACACCTCTGGTCTAAATGAATCACCATCTACCTCAACCATGAGCATTTAGAGATAGTATCTCACAGGGCTGAGGTTGCTGGAGACTAAATGGCAACTCAAATAAGCTCAGATAAGAGAGAAAAAGGGCTCATTTTCAGTTATGATCTGAGGTTTTGCAGCGTAGTGACCAGCGAGCCACACGGCTGCATTTTTGCCTACTTCAACACATGTCATGCCCTCCTTAGCCCACTTTGTAGCCACCTTGGCAGCTGCCCTCACGTTTCCTTTTAATCTGCTTTGGTCCACTTTTCAAATAGAAATATGCAAATTTGAACCATTTTTTAGAAATTAATCATTATTATGGATCATCAGCGAGTCTTTTAGACCTGTCGAGTTCCCATACAGCTCGAATGCTCTTGAGAAGGGTTCAAGACTGGTTTGACATGCCTGAGACATCTTTGCAACTATTCTGAGACAAAATATGTCTGAGCATGCTCATAATTCAAGCACTGAGATTGCAGTCGATCCATGTGAGGAAACAGACAATTATGAGGCACTCTTGTTGCACTTCATATTGCACTAATGTGAAATAATTAATAAAGTGCACAGCTTTTAGTTTAAACCACCGAACAGAAGATCTACTAATTCAATGAATTTAGTTTCGTCCTAAACCTCATGGCACCTTCAGTACACGAGTCAGTGGGAGATTAGGTAGATATGATGAAAAGGGAAGTCCTACAAAAATGAAAAATGTTACCAAATTTGTACGAATCTAAAAGGTATCTTTGATTGACTATGTATACGTATTAGTTTCCGTGTTGTAACAAAAGTAGAAAAGTTTTGGAAACACGATTCAGTGACAATGAAACATTGAAATGCTTCATTGTTTAAATATATTAGACAATTGTTGTTGTTTTTTTTTTTTGCCAAAATTGGGGAAATTTAGATATTTTACTTGAGTACAGATGTCTTTATTGTACAAATATTTACAGTAAAATCCTTCAGAATGTTTTATAAGAGTTAAACAATTCACCACAATGAATGTGATACTGAGAACTACAAGATAGATGATTTAAAAACACCTTTTTAATTTATTTTAAACATTTTTGTTCAATTTAATGAAAGTGTTTATGATAGAGAAGTGAGAGGCATTAAACACATTTTCATTATCACTTAACATTTTTAGTATTGTTTGATCTTTGCTTTTATTATATTTTACTTTTTGGGTAGGGGATAGGTAAATTAAATGAATCCATGTAAAATAAAGAAGTGAAGAATCTTACAGGACTGTTAAAAAAAAAGTAATCAGTTTAACTTCTAAACGAGCCTGGCATCAGGAGCAGCATGGACAAACAGAACCACATCAGCCACAGATGTGACTTCATCAGTTATGTTCTTTATATTTTGAAATATGAAAAAAAAAGTTCACTTGTCGAACTACAGTTTCTCTCAGCTGTTGTTATCACTCAGTCATAAAAGCCTAAGGTGATGTTTCAAAAGTGATGCCCATTCATTTATTCTTTCATTCGTGTGACTTGAATCATTTTATTTATTTTTTATTCCTCCACAAATAGAAAGCTTTGAGACTTTGTGGTCATTAGTATTAGTACAAAGAATAGTCTACAAACACTTTATTTCCAAATCTAAAAGTGTCATTTAAATTGCCAGTTTTAAATGCCATTTAAATTCAGGTCTCTCTTGTAAATGAGTCCTCGAGGCTCAATGGGATTTACCTGTCAAAATAAAGGTTGAATGAATATATAAACAACTCCTGTTTGCTCAAACTGATAAAAATATTCATGGCTATTACTTTCCTGCTTCAGTGCCTCTTTCCTGTGGGGTTCCGCAGGGTTCAATTTTTGGCCCCCTTCTGTTTTCACTGTATCTGCTCCCTTTGGGGGTCTATCCTCAGAAAATGTGGTCTTTCTTTTCACTATTATGCTGATGGTTGTCAGATTTATCTGCCCTTAAAACCCAACAGTTCTTGCTCCATTCACCCTCTGTTAAAATGTCTTGATGACATGGATGGCTTAAAATTTTTTAAGTTTCAACAATCAAGTTTAGCCCTAGCTCTACTGCTGTCGCTGTTCCTGTAAACTTTGACTCTTTTCAGCCTTATCTTCAGCAGTCTCTTACAAATATCTGGATGGTTTCAAAATCTGACTTTAAGTTTAATAAACAGATTAACTCTGTTTGGCAGAAAAGCTTCTTCTAGTTAAAGCAGATAGCTAACTTTAAGTCAGTGTTGACCAGACCTGACCTTTAAAAAATAGTCCATGCCTTCATTACAACAGAATAGATTACTGTAACGTGCTTTATGTTGGGGTCATTCAGGTCTCCCTTTCACATCTCCAGCTCGTCCAAAATGCTGCAGCTCGATTATTAACAGGAATTTGTATGTTTGATCATATTTCACCAGCGTAATCCTCCCATCACATGCTCCCTGTACGTAACAGAATCGATTTTAAAATTCTCCTGTTGATCTTTAAGTGCCTAAATGGCCTCTTATTTTGTGACCTATTTCAAACATATGTTCCTTCTCGGGCGCTGAGATCATCTGACCAGCTGCTTTTGGTTGTACCAAAAACCAGGCTGAAGCTCAGAGGAGATCGGGCCCCAAACTTTGGAACAACCTGCCATCAACATTAGACAAACCACTTCACTTCCTGCTTTTTATCTTTCCTACAAACACCTGTTTTCACTGACATATAACACAGTGTGATTTGATTTAGTATTTTATTGTTTTGTGTTTTTATGTTTTTCTTTTGATGCTTTAAATTGATTTTTATTATTTTTTCTTTAAATTACTGCAGTTGATTTTTATTGTTAAGTACTTTGGTAACAGCTGCTGTTTTGAAATGTGCTTTATAAATAAATTTGACTTGACTTGGCTTAACTCAGCATGGTTCTGTTAAAAATGGTAGCATATTTGGTGCATTGGGACAACTCCCAAACAGAAAAAATGAGTTTATATCCAATTTATGGGTTGTAAAAGGTAGCATGTAAGTTGCATGCATGCTCTTTACACACTGTGAGATCTGCAAAAGAAACTAATGCAAAGTGAGGCTGCAGCAAACAGCAAGGCATGAAAAAAAGAGAATGGAAACAATTAGTGTGTTTAATGTATCATGCAAGATGTGCATTTACCTCTGCATGCCCTTTTTGTGTTTGATGAACAAAAAATGTAACACATGCAAAAAAAATAAAACCTACTTTGACCACAACAGTATAAACCAAAAGTGAGTGATTAAAATGCTACACGAGAACAGAGGAGAAGAACTGCGACACACATCTGGTTTGAAAAGGAGGAAGCAAGGAGTACCTTTCTCGGCAACAAAGTCCAAAATAATAAGAGAACAGAGAAGAGGAAACATGTGGTTACTTAGGGGGTCTGGGTGAGATGTGTGTGTTTGTGCAGTCATGCATATGCAGGGATGGCTGTTGGTCTTAATGTTTGTGGTTTCATCATCTGCAGTGAGTGTGGCAGTGTCTGCACGCTGCAGTTACAAACGGTAGCTTCAAGTGTCGAGAGGGCGTGCTATTTCTGACAGTGCCGGTCTGCAGCACTCTGGCATCATTTAACCACGTTCATCCAGCGTATGTCACTCAAACGCACCATGAAAACATAAGCAAGGGTTTGAACATGCACAGTACAGACTGAGACAGCAAAAAAGTGTGTGATTGTGTGTGTTTACATGAACTGCCTGTAGCATCAGACAGCCTTGATTTGCCTAACTGTTGGCAGTAGCTCACAAAGCAGTATTGTAGAGTAGCATGCACAAACCTGACCACATGCAAATGCTTAAGTTGTACAGACAGTGTGGATGTGTCAGTGTCAGAGTGTGGTTATGTACAAGAGAGGGCATGTTGATGGAGAGTAAACTCAAGAGAGAGTAAAAGGATGATAAGAGAGAAAAAATGTTTTGGGGAAAGAAAAGCTGTAGAAATGTGACACAAAGCCCAGGTTTCTTTACTGTAAGATGCTGTTCCAACAATTATTTAAAAATAAATGCTACAGAAAGAACAAGCTTAGAATGTGATGCAGCAAACTATGATGCAATACAATATCCATCCATCCATCCATCATCTTTACCCGCTTATTCCATTTTGGGTCACGGGGGTCGCCGGTGCCCATGTCCAGCAATCACTGTGCGAGGGGCGGGGTACACCCTGGACGGGTCGCAAGTCCATCACAGGGACACATAGAGACAAACGAGACAAACAACCATTC